CTTTTGAAATGTATCATATTAAATTTTGTATACAAACTATAACTTAAGTTTTTTAACTAACTTAAGCTAACTTAAGATTTTTAACTTTTGAAATGTACCATGTAAGCAGAAAACTAATAAAGTATTATCAGTGCCAGTTAAAGAGTGATAAACATCAGTGTATCTACAGGTTAGATTAGGAAAGAGGACACTTCTATTGCAAATTCTTCCTCCATCAAAGAGGTGATCATTCTGGCAGTTATAACAGTCACACTTTTTGTGTATGTTTTTCCATAAACAACGTACTGTGTAAGTTTGAAAAACTGAAAGGAAGGCACGAAGCTTGCTGTGTAGGAAAAGAGCCATGTTGCTGCTGGTGGTTGAGGGTCTCCAGGAGAAGAGAAGCTCAGCAGAGTCTCTGGCATGTCAGGGGGCCTTGGAGTTTCTCTCCAAGAAGAGAAAATTCATGGACAAGGTCATGAATGAATGCTGGGAACACAGGTCATTGTAGGATATCTGCCAGGGTTATGGGGCCGGACATTGGACACCCAGCAGGAATACAGCTGAGGAATAGAAGGAATTTTCTTCTGAACTCACTGTGGCCTAGCTTCAGCTTTCAGGGCAGGTCAAAGCTGAAACTTTCTGTAGGTGGAAATGGTTATTTTTAGCTGAAAGACACAGCAGGGCCTGAAGGAGAAATCGGGAGCTTCCTTAGCACATGGTTAAGACAGGTGAGTCCAGGTAGGAATCAGCCAGGCCCACCATGGAGTTTCATGTTAGGATTCAGGTACAGATGATGGTACCATAGCATCGGGCATCTTTATCTTGACCACCCACAACACGGCTGTCTTGTCATCACACCACCTCAGTCAGGCCTGGTTGCCCTCTGTGTCTGGTACTCAGCTTCATCTTGGGATCTCACTTCCCTGTCTTTCTTGGGATTCCCTTCCCTTGCGCTTGTGTTGGATCTACTCTTTTCCTGTATCTCATTTCCTTTTTGGAGCCGTCAAGCCCATATGGCTCACCTGGCTACTGGCAGCAGGGATCTGTTCCCTCCCTGGCAGTGAAACAACCTAGAAGCTACAGCCTTTTTCTAGACTCCATTTGCTAGTGGGGTGGGAGCTGTAGTAGGCTTCTCATCACTGCAGAAATTGGGCAGGACTGATCCGAGGGTGACCCATGCTCATTGCTGGCAACTAAAATGAGTCTGCAACAGGCAGGGACTGATGGTAGCAACCAATGGGGTAAATTAAAAAACTAGAAGTATAAGATGATTGATGTTTCCATGACCAGAATAGAAAAATCAGAAGCTGTTTAGAAGTTCAGCTTCATACATGATGACTTTGAGGAGCCAGTGGGATAACCGATGAAGATAATCTAGCATATGTACTACATGCACCCTTGTTTGGGTGTATAAACAACAATTGTGTTACTAAAGATTTGGGAACTTAGTTTTTCAGCATTCTCTCCATGAGCATCAGGGGTGGGGATAGAAAAAAACATTGGCTGTAAAATTATAACAAGATGAATCGTGTGCTCAGTACTGATGATCTTCAGGTGCACACCTTTCTGGTGTGCTGCAGAATTCTGACAGTTACCTGTACATCTGTGCATCTCTTCTGTGCAGTGTTAAGGGATCAGATCTTGACCCTGAAGAACCAGTCAAAGTTGAAGAACCTGCACCCACAAAGAAGCCCCTAAAAGAACAAAGAAATATTAAGGAAATGCCATTTATAACTTCTGATGACTTCAGTGGCGTTCCTGCGTAAGTATTTAAGATAAATTTTAACATTCAACTCTTTAGTAATCAATATACATGATTGTTTAAATCATAAACCTTGATTATATTAATTGCAGTATGCTGTGTTCCAATATTGATCTTTTCCAGAGTAGCTTTGCATTGTACTTTGAAAATGCAGAAAATGTCTTGTTGAAGGTGTTTAAAATCATGTTTTTTATTTAGTTGTAAAAATCTTAGCAAAGAGAGATCTAGACATGGATTCATTTATTGCTGAGTCTCTCAGGGCCATTTTGTGATACAGATTTATCCAATTACATTTTAGAAGTAGCCTCAGTTTTGCTGCAATTTTAAGGAAAGTAAGTGTATCGTATAGATCTGAGAATTAGAACAGAGTGTTGTATTTGTTTGGTTTCCATTTGTCCGTTACCTTATGCCACACACTTCTTTGAGTCTGTGCTCTATTCTGAGCCCTCGGTCAGAACAGGAGGAGAAGAATACAGGTGTCAATAAGACAAAATTCCTCCCCAAGAGGGAGGGCTCCTTTTTGCTCTTCACAGACGACAGTGATGGGGAACCAATTATGGAAATCCACGTTTTTAAACTTCCATATTTCTAAGGCTTTCCTTAACTTCTCAGCTTTATAGTGTTACATGTGGTTTTTTTTTTATTACAAATACTGTATGTTGTTAGAAAATGTTTGTTGTCAGAAGATAACTCATCTGTAATTCTACCACTCAGACAAGGTATAGAGTATTTCTTTTCATGTTTTATTTCATTTCACCTGTACTACAAGTTGTTTCTGATTGTTATTACAATAATGTAGTTATACTACAAATTAAATTTACTTTTTATCATGAGTGTTTTCCCATCATTAACATTTTTGAAAACTTGTATTTTAATAGTTGTATATTTTATTGTATGTCTGCCTCATAAGTTATTTAAGGAGGCCTTATTAAATATTTTGGTTGAATGCATTGTTATGAATGATGGTACAATGAAATTTCTTTCTGACAAGTATATTTTTTTAATTCCTTATTTCCTTGAGATAGAATCCTAGGAGGAGAATCCTTGCAGCAAAGGGCATGATTATTTTATTTGCCTGAGAATTGTCCATCCAGGTTTTGTTGTTGTTGTATGTTTTTAATTAATAGACTTTATTTGTTAAAATAATTTTAGGTTTACTGAAAAACTGAGCAAATAGTAGAGTGTTCTCATACCTGAAAACAGTTTCCCCTATTATTACTAACATCTGGCATTAGTGTGGTACATTTGTTAGCATTGATAAGCCAATCTAAATACTACTAACTAGATTTTAACTCAGGTCCATAGTTTACATTAGGGCTCACTCTTTGCGTCATACAGTCTGTGCATTTTGACAAATGCATAATGCTGTGTATCCACAACTGTTGTATCATGCAGAATAGTTTCATTGCCTTCAATGTGCCCTATGCTCTGTCTTTTCATCTCTTTCCCTAAGCCCCTGACAACCACTGATCTTTTTACTGGCTCCACAGTTTTTCCTCTTTCAGAATGTCAAATAGTTGGAATCGTCCACTGTGTAGCCTCTTCACACTTTCCCTTAGTAATATGCTTCTTTCCCTTAGTAATATGCATTTAAGATTCCCCTCATGTCTTATTATGGCTTGATAGCTCATCTCTTTTTATCGCTGACTAATATTCCATTGTCTGGATGTACCACAGTTTATCCATTCATCTGTTGAATGACACTTTGGTTACTTCCAGTTTGGAGTGATTATGACTAAAGCTGCTGTAAATATTCATCTGCAGGTTTTTGTACGAATATGTTTTCAGCTCACTTGGGTAAATACCTGTGATCACTGGATAATATGGTAAAACTACATTTAGCTTTGTAAGAAACTGTCAAACTGTCTTCCAAAGTGGCTGTACCTTTTTGCATTCCCAGCAGAATGATAGTTCCTTTTGCTCCACATTCTCACCAGCATTTAGTTTTGTCAGTTTTTCCTAGTTTAGCTATTTTAATGAGAGTAATCATGTCTCTTTGTTGTTTTAATTTTAAGTTTCCTGGTGACATATATATTGAGCATCTTTCCATATGCATATTAGTCCCTTGAAAAATACCAGGCTGTTTTAGAGTTCTAAGACTAGGAATGAGGCTGGCATTTCTCTTTAATCTTTTGTTTGTTTGTTTGTTTGTTTTTGGTTGTTTCTGGTTACTCAGTCATTTCCTTTATTGACAGCTTTATTGTCATTAAAATTCTGTTTGATGCTATTCAGTTTTTTAAGTTGTTGTTGCTCATCAGTTGTGTTGAAGGGAAGAGCAAGTGGCTGTGAGGAGCAGTGGAGCAGGAGGGTCTTTAGAAAATGCTCCTTGAATTCAGAGATAGAAGAGTCATGGTAGAGTATTCATTTTTAAACTAATGGGCTATTTAACAAATGAGAGAAGTTAGAAGATTAGGATAAGGAAGAATGTGTCCTAAGCATGGGGCTTTTATGTATTTATCTTTAAGTTAACCCTGAAGCGGAATTAAAATGGAAAACATTGACACCTTTTGAGGAAACTAGGGGACAGTTCAGATGGTTGAAAGGAATTGCATTGTGGAGGGCTGTAGCATCAACCGTTCGTGGAATTCTGGTTAGAAAAATGAGTAGCAAAAATGAATTTAGAAAAGAAGGAAATAATGAAAATGAATGGGTTTTGGTCAGTAGGAACATTTTCCTTTAAACATATTTATATATTATTTTACATTAAGGAGCTTTTGATTAGAAAACTGCCCCTTTGAATAGAGGTGAAGGACAGAGTTTAACATAATGAATCCACTGTTTGTTCAGAGGGAAAAGTTGAAGCAGATCATTAAAGTTTTGTTTTTGACATGTACAGATCACTCAAAATTGAGGGTCTCCTATATTTATATTCTGAGACTGGTGACTGGGAGGACGTGTAGGAGGGAGATGCAGACTGGGAGACTGTGCTCCAAAGGCATGTGTGCTCAGGAATGAAGAGTGAGGGTGCCCGCTTTCTCCTCTGCAGGCAGCTCCACTTCCGGACCCTTGTCCCTTTGCATCCCTGTTCTTCTCCATCAGCGTTGTCATCCTGGTTGTCATCCTCCATCTTCCCTTCCTCCTCTGCCGCCTCCTCCTTTTTACTTTCTCTCTCTGAACAGAAAATGTTTCTGCAGAAAACTAGCATGGTGTGATTTATGTAATTTATTAATACTGAAATTTTTCTTTCCCTTGCTCACAAACATTTGAAAACATTTAAATAAGCTTCTATATTGCCATGAATCAGTCCGTCTGAATCAGAGTTTGAGAATGTATTTTAAATTGTAATATTAACTCTATAGGTGGAGAATAGAGGTTTATGCCTTCAGATAGAACGAGGGAAGACAAACACTAATATATCGTGGTCTCTGTTTAATTTTTCAACTCTTGAGATGTGTCTGGTTTATTTAGAAGTTGATATTTGATTTTTTTATAAAGGGTACTAGTAGATTTGCTGCTGTATAAAGTCATCATATGTAAATATTTTTGAAAGAAAACAACTTTGTATGAGGATTCTTTTAAAAAGTTACTCATTTTCTTTTTTCATAGGTACATGAAGTCCCGCTTAACCTATTGTCAAATTAATGATGTTATTAAAGAAATCAACAAGGCAGTAGTTAGTAAATATAAGATCCTACATCAACCAAAAAAGTCTATGAATTCTGTGGCCAGAAATCTGTATCACCGATTTATTGATGAAGAAACGAAGGAAACCAAAGGTAAAATGAGAGTATGTGTGTGTGTACATGTCAGCTGTTCGGAGAGCAACGAAATCGTAAGAAAGGAAAGTGATTGTTCTTAACCAGGGGCACTTTTCCCACCAGGGAACATTTGGCCATTTCTGGAGACATTTTTGGTTGTTCGACCTGGGCTTGGGGGTGCTACTGGCATCTAAAAGAGGACCAGGGATGCTGCTGAAGTACCCCATGACGTACAAGACAGCTCCCACAAAAAAGAATTATCTAGCCCCAAATGTCTGTGGTCCTGAGGCTGAGAAACACTGCGTGGGAGTCTTATTATGGAACAGTACCTGATGCCAGAATTAGAACAGTAATGACAACAGTTGATCATGCTTGTATAGCACTTACGATGTGCTGGGTAGCGTGCTGAGAGCTTTGGTCCTCAGTGTCCTTATGAGGTGTATACTCTTAACCACTTGCGCTTTGCAGACTAGGCGAAGAGGGCTTACGTTCCTTGCCCAAGGTCAGCCAGTTAAGTGTTAGAGCCGCTGTGGGGTTCATTCTCTTAACCGTTATCCCGTACCGACTCTTGAAAAGTGCATTGTCCAAAAGATGCCAGCAGAGAGTCAGTGATACAGTAAGCAGGGCTTCATTTCTGAAATTGTACAATAAATATTATGCAATTTCAGTTGAAAGAGTAATTGCTATTTTAGCAAGAATACCAGTTCTCATTTCAGTTGGATGATAGTAAAGATGATAAACGTCATTCATATTCACCTGTAATGCTTAATCTTGAAAGTTGTCCTTATAAAGATTAGCATTAATATCTTTATTTTCAGGCCATTATTTTATAGTGGAAGCTGACATAAAGGAGTTCACAACCTTGAAAGTGGACAAGAGGTTTCACGTGATACTGAATATTTTACGCCACTGCCGGAGGCTGTCAGAGGTCCGAGGGGGAGGACTTACCCGATACGTTATAACGTGAGGCCCCTGTAAGCTTTTGAACCAGCCAACAATAGAGTTTATAGACTATTCCTATAGTTTCCTAATATGTAATTTGTTTATATATAATTTCTTTAGCTTTTTCATTTTCTTCATTTCTTATAAAGATGAAACTCTTAAAAGATAAAGCATGCACATTTTAAAATTCACTTCTAGTAAATACATAACCACCTACCATATAAGCCTCTGTTCTAGGCATATAATGAAACTAAAAAATGTTCACAGTTAGTTTTGGTGTTTAGTGACAGTGCTGCCGGTCCCTGTAAGAGGTGCAGATGTGCTAATACAAGTTAGAGTTCAAGAAGATAAGAGCCAGTCTACCCAGGCTCTTTGGAATTAAAGGTCATTAGTGTCTAAATTCCACAAATGATATTTCAGTCTATAGGCAAAATTTGGATTCAGAGGCAGCCCACCCATGTGATTATTTTGCTTTCCCACATGTAATTACCTGAAATGCATTCAGTGTAAACCAATCTGTAAACATCAACCTGTAATGAAATTGTAACAAAAGGATATTTGAGATGAAAAAGATGATAAAATAATATGTGTAAGCAGATTGATAGTGGTCATGGAAAACGAACGAGTGGTTGGATTGTAAGAATTTAAGTGTTTCTCTTCCGTACTTGGGGAGACTGTCTGTGTCATAGTGTTCTCCAGAGAAACAGAACCAAAAGGAATACCTACCTACCTGTCTGTGTATCTGTCTGTGGAGATTTATTTTGAGGAATTGGCTCACGTGATTATGGAGGCTAAGAGGTCTCCAGATCTGTCTGGAAAGCCTGTAGTGTGATTCAGCCTGGGTCCAAAGGCCTGAGAATCAGGGACCCGGGCCAGAGTGGATGAGATGAGATGTCGCAGTGCAGCAGTGAGGCAGGAAAAAGGAGCAAACTCCACCCTCTCTGCTCAGTCTTTTGGTCTGTTCAGGTCTTGGATGGAGGGGAGGATGCCCATCCACACAGGGGAGGGGCGTTAGCTTTACTGAGTCCACTGATTCCAATGCTAATCTCATCTAGAAACCCTCACAGATACACCCAGAAGCAGCGTTTAACGGGGCCCCCTGGCCAGTCGAGTCGTCACACAAAGTTAACCAGCACAGCCTGTGTCCCTTCCACCTACTTGTAGCTGAGGAAAAACATGTCAGGCTAACACTGTCTCATGAAGGCCAGAGAATACATTATAGGCACTGCTTATTTATTGTTATCCTTTCTTTCTCCCTAAAATTTTTTTCCATGAAGGTATTTTTTGTTTGTTGGTTGGTTTGTTTTTAATTGAAGTAGAGTCAGTTTACAATGTTGTGTCAGTTTCTGGTGTACAGCATGTTTCAGTCATACATGTACATACATACATTCGTTTTCATATTTTTCATTTAAGGTTACTACAAGATATTGAATAGAGTTCCCTGTGCTGTACAGTATAAACTTGTTATCTGTTTCATATATAGTAGTTAATATCTGTAAATCTTGAACTCCCAATTTATTCCTTCCCACCCCCTTTCCCCTCGGTTACCATGACTTTCTTTTCTATGTCTGAGTCTGTTTCTGTTCTGTAAATAAGTTCATTTTTGTCTTTTGTTTTTTTTTAGATTCCACATATAAGTGATATCATGTGATGTTTTTCTTTCTCCCTAATTTAAATGCAGATGTTTATTTCATATCTCAGTTTAAATAAAAATAATGGCATTTACTTTGTTTTAAGTCTTGCTTGATTTTTCTCTATGACTCATTTTTCCCTGTGTTCTCTATCAAAAACATTTTCTTTGTTTACGATTTTTTCCCTGAAACTCGTATTAAACAACTGTGTCGGTAAGCTTGTTTAATTCTTGTAGAATGGATACTGAGTCTCTATTTTAATTGTCAGCAATGTAATCAATTTGTTACATTAATTTAGGGATACAGTTGGGTAAAGTCAGATTCCTGAAAGGATAATAAAGACAATTTTCAAACAAGAAGTAATTTCTGTTACTTGAACTTCATTTTCAAGCAAAATGACAGGCTTGTTCTACTTACTTATTTTTGAAAGTAACATTTAAAAAAAATCTAATTTTGAAAGAGTCTGTGGTCCTGGGTCTCTGCCCTCTGATCTGTTTCCACCCTTTCCTTGCCCTCCATCTTCTCTTGCAGTATTTTTAGTAGCCGGCGGCCGAGAAGCACCCTTCCTGTCCAGTCCTTGCAGCACGGCTGTCTCCAGAACTTTAGGGACCGAACCTCATGCCACAGCTTTCTGCTGCAGGTCCCGCAGCCTGGAGGGGAACAGATTCCAACTGGCTGTCTCTGGCTGGATACCACACAGCCTGATGCTGTGGTTTACCACCTTGTCCTGCCAGCCTGTGGATCCCAGGTAGGAGAGACCCAGGACCTCATTCAGGCTTCTATGCTGAAATGCTAATTTCATGTGATAAAATCTTTAATCTGTCCATTTATAGGTTGTTTGCTGGAAAAGTTGGTTATTTGTGGACAAAACATTTTTTCCAGGTAACACAGGCTAGTTAAAAATGATGCTGGTAGATCGCCACCTCTGTCTTGCTTACCCCTCCTCAGGTTACTCTGTCCCCTTTTACGTTTCCTAACTGTCCAGATGTCACGCCAGATTCTTTGGCCTCATCCAGTTTGTATGTCTAGATGTGGATCTTCTTGTATCTTAGTTTCTAGTTATAAAGGGGAAATGTAACTTGAAATGAAGAGATTTGACTATCACTGCTTGTGGCAGATCTTACTTTCCAAAGACGGATGGATGGATGGGAGAATTCCGTATTCCATCCCACATGCTCTTTCAGTGTGATGTCAGCATTCTTCTATTAAGAGGCAAGATATCTGTTCCCTCTCTTTGAATCTGGGCATATCTTTGTAACTGCTTCAGCCAGTAGAATGGACTAGGATATGCCACTGCCTGATTTCCAAGCTAGCTATTAAAGAGAATATGAATTCCATCTGGTCTCTTTCTTGGGGTGCTTGCCTTTGGAACCCTGTCACCATCTTGTGAGAAAGCCCAGGCTACACAGAGAGGTCACATTAACTGCCACTGACAGCCAGGCATGTGGAGCAAATGATTGTAGTCCTGAGGTCCCAGACAGCAAGGAGCAAAGACAAGCTGCCCCTGCTATGCTCTGAATTTAGGACTTGCAGAAACCATGAAAAATAAATGATTGTGGTAGTTTAAAGACACTACGTTTTTGCATGATTTATCATACAAGAGATAATGAAAGCACTACTCAAACTTAGTGTCACCACCATAGTGAAACATCCTGACATATGCCTCCTAAAGTGACATGAAATACTGTCAAAAACATTAAACTTGAATGTGAAGAAGACTTTAGCTCTGTCATCTAGTTTATAGAAAACAAGGGATACCGAACCAAGCTAAATGTCATCGTGAAGAAATAATGAGGCAACTCCAGATACACATAAATAACCTGGTCTCTTAAAAACAAGTCAGTAATGGGAAAAAGAAGGGGTCCTGTTCTGGATTAAAAGAGACTAAACAGAATCAATATAAACCATGAACCTTGATTCCGTTTGAAAAAAAGATCTAGGGATAATTGTGGAAATTTTAGTTTGGGTTGTATGTTAGATGCCGTGAAAGAATTAGGATCCATTTTCTTGGGTATGATAATAGTACTGTGGTTATATAGGAGAATATCTTTATTTTCTGCAGATGCATCTGAAGTATTTAGGGATAAAACAATATGCTCTAAAATGGCCAAGCAATATAATAAGATACACACATAGAGCACGTATGGCCAAGTATTAAAAATTGTTCAGTCTTGACAATTGCTATAACAGCATTCATTGTATTATTCTTTCTAATTTTATGTGTTAAAATTTTTTCCTAATAAAATTTAGGATACTTGTGAAACAAACATACTGACTAAATATTTACATCTCATGAAAAGACAGATCAGAACTTGTTGCTGGTGAAGTGAACCTGGGAAGGAAGGGTTGTTAGCAATCAGTGAGGCGCTCATGGGCCACTTCCGGTGCTTGTGAATTCAGGCTCCCACATCCTTTCTTCCCAGCACTGTGCCCTGAGCCTCGGATGGGTGCTTGGACTTTATGCATTAGATGCAATGGGCAAAGGCAGGAATTTCTTGGAATTATGCTATATGTAAGTAGTTATATTTACACATAAAAGCAATGTATTGGGCATCTAACTTACACGTGGGGAAATGACACGCAGTGTCCAGAGCTTAATATCACAAAAACGTGTCACTTTTAATGAACCAGCGTTTCCAATAAGCTTAGGCAGAGCATACACTCTGTGGGTGATTAACATGGACAGATGTTTATTTCCAATGCAGGTTTAATTCAGTTATGAGCCTACTTGCCTGTTTTTTCTTTGTAATAACTGTAGTGCAATTTCAGACTAATATTTTAAAGCTAGGATCAACTTGACACCTCAGAAAAGCTTGGGTATTTTAAATTTCCTTCCTTTCAATGGGTCAACATGACAAATTGTGGTCTATTCTAATTACCAAAGTTTTCTTGGTAGAGTGACTGTGAGGTCTGCTTCAGCTGCATACTAAAAACTGCAACCCTAATCCTTAGTTGTGACTCAGAAATCAGATTATTTCTTGGGAATACTGTTTTCAACTTTAAAAAATAATTCAGCAACATGATGCATCAAAAAGAAAACTTAAGCGTCAGAAGCCTGGTTCTAGTCCTAACTCTGCTATTTACTCTCTTGGTTCTTCCTTCAAAAATTTGACCCTTCTCACAAGCTACCACCTGGTCCCAAACATCTCCCTGGATTAATCCAAAGCTTCCTAATTGGTCTCTGTGTTTGTTCTTGCCCCACTACTGTCTATTCACAGGAACCAAAGTTTGAGTAGGTCACTCCATTACTCAGAAACCTTCCATAGCTCCCCATTTCTTACAGAGCAAAGGCTGAATCCTTACAAAGGCCCATGAGGCCCTCCCTGGGTCCCCTCCTCAGCTCAGTAGTATCATCTCCTCCATTTCCCAGCTCTGCTCCAGCCACTCCGGCCTGCACGCTCTTTCTGCAACAGGCCGAGCATGAGTCTTCCCAGACCTTTGCACTGGCTGTTACCTCTGCCCAGAAAGCTCCTCACCCTTCACCCATGTGACACTCCCCTTACATCCTTTACATTGGTTCAGGGCCATTTGATCCCTTAGGATCCCAGACCATCTTACATTTATTTATTTACAGCTCCCTCTATAACACGCTCTCCTTATCTGCTTTATTTTTCTTCCTAGCACATATGTCTACCTGATGGTTTATGTATTTTACGTATTTATGTGTCTTTTTTGCCCCACTAAAATATAAACTCCCTAGGCCAGGAGTTTTTGTCTCTTATTCAGCCACTCTAACAGGAATTTCCAGCAGAGGGCGCTAAATAAGCATTTACAGAATCCACATTAACCGACAGTTTGTGGCCGTGGGCAAGTGACTTCACCTTTCCAGGTCCCAGTTTTCTCCAGTATGTATTGAGATGGTTGAACAAAAATTTCTCTCAGGACCTTCTAGTTTTAATATTCTATGGTTCTAATATTCCCAGCTACTTCTGGGAAATACGTTGAAATTAAAGGATATTCTTCTGGCAGGATTATAAAAAATTGTTAAACACATGTATATTCTGCTGATAATTACTTGGGACTCTCATCTTTTAACCAAAGACTCTGTAAAGTATTAAGCTTCAAGAAATACTGAAATTCTAAGTTACTAGTTAAATAATAGAAGCTTCCATTGACTGACATTTATAAAAAAAAATTTTTCAGCCAACATGTTCAGTTTTCTAATTGATTCTGCTTATTGGAAATAGTTTTAAGATTTCACAATTTATAAATGTTATGCTTAATCATAAATGGAACTACTGTGGTGCACTGAATAGAACTATGTGTTATGAATGCAGTTTTGTTTCATAATATTAAATGATTTCTTTTATGAAACATTCCAGCTCCTGATAAACCATTGCCATTGTTCTGTAAATATATCTACTAATACAAGTGGCATAAAAGAAGGGTTACTCAAGACACTGAACACTCCTGGGTATATTTCAGACAGTGTTATTTAAACTGGTGCCAAGACCATCTATAGGATTATAAAGTAGAAATAGTTTAACATAATGCCAATTGAACTTTGTTCAAGTTAGGTTGACTCAAGAGAATTCTCTAAGGAAAACACAAGAGAAGCATTTATCAGAAATTATGGTATTTAGCAAGTTATACCTCAAATTCTTTTTTATGAGTACCCTTTTGTCCTGCTGTATTGAAAGTAGTAAATCAGATGACTAGGAGACTACATCATTTTTTGAAATTGAGATTAAATTTTCCTACAGTGAAATGCACAGATCTCAAGGCTACAGATCAATGAGTATTGACCAGTGCATACACCCATGTAACCCAAACCCCTATCATTTTTCTATTTTTTTCTTAAACTTATTATTTTGCAACAAATATAGGTTATAGGCAGTTGTAAAAAGTAACATGGAGAGAGCCCCGTACCCTTTAGTCCTTACATCAGCAGTAACATCTTGCACAAGTACAGTACAACCTCAGAACCAGTATGTTGACACTGATGCAGTAGAGGTACAGAACATTCCCATCCCCCAGGATCCCTCACATGGCCCCTTTATAGCCACACCTCCTCCCCTCAGACCATCAGTCACCTCCTTAGCCCCAGACAACCACTCATCTGTTCTCTATTTCCATAATTTTGTCATTTCAAGAATGTTACATAAATGGAACGATAACAGTATGAAACCAGTTGAGACTGGCTTTTTCACTCAATAGAATTTTTTGAAGATTTATTCAGCTGTTGCACATGCCAACAGTTCCTTTTTATTGCTGAGTAGTGTTCCCCAGTGCGAATGGACCATCCTGGCTTAATCATTCCACCTGGTGAAGTGCCACTGAGTTGTTTCCAGTTTGTGGCTCTCACGAATTCAGCTGCTATCAACATCTGAGTACAGGTTTTTGTGGGAACATAAATCTTCACTTATCTGGGAGTGCAACTCCCAGGAGTTCAATTGCTGGATCTTGTAGTAGCTGCATGTTTAGTTTTTAGTTTATTTTTTTTTTAACTGACAAATTGTTTCCCAAAGTGGCTGTACCATTTTCATTTTCCCTCTGAGCACTGCTTTCAGTGCCTCCCACAAATAATGGTAAGTTGTTTTGTCATTTTGCTTCCTTCAAAATATTTCAAAATTTATCAAAATTTCTCTCGAGACTCCTTTACTACCCATGTGTTATTTAGAAGTGTGTTGTTTAATCTCCATATATTTTGCGATTTCCCAGCTATCTTTCTGTTCTTGATTTTTAGTTTAACTCCACGTTGGCCTGAAGACATACTTCTGTATGAGTTCTAGTTTTAAATTTGTTATGGGGTTACTTATGGCCAGGGATGTGGTTTATCCTGGTGAATATTCCACGGGAGCTTGTGAAGGATGTGTAGTCTGCTGTTGTTGGATGAAATATTCTGTGGATGCCAATTAAATCTGGTTGATTGATGGTGCTGTTCAACTCAACTATGTCCTTACTGACTTCGTGCCTGCTGCATCTGTCGATTACCCAGAATCTCCAACTACAGTCGTGGCTTTGTCCTCGCAGTTCCATGTTTCTCCTCGCTGTTCTGTCTTTTTGCCTTGTGTATTTTGCTGTTCTGTTATTGGGTGTATACACCTTAAGGATTGTTATATGTTCTTGGAGATTTGACCCCTTAATCTTTAATGCTCATCTTTATCTCTAATAATTTTCCTTGTTCTGAAGTTGGCTTTGTTTGAGATCAATATAGCTGCTCCAGCTTTGTTTTGATTATTATTAACAAGGCATAGGTTTCTCTACCCCTTTACTTTTGATTTATCTGTGTCTTTATAACAAAGCAGGTTTCTTGTAGACAACATATAGTTGAGTCTTGATTTTTTAAATCCACTTTGTAAGTCTCTATCTTTGAACTGATGTA